ATTTGATAAACGGCCTCTAAATCAATGTATAGAGTCCCCTTTTTATAATAATTATGCAATATAAAATTTTTAATTTTTTTATCGAGATATTGTAATTTTAAGTTTATTTAAAAAATTAAACCAGTTTCATTGCAAAATATATTATCATTGTGAATTATTTGAAATTATAAATTAAAATAATTTTTATCAAATGTTGTAAAAGTGGTTAATAACAATAAGGTCAAGTTTGCGCTATGACTGGAAGACACTGTCATAGAGTTTCGAAATCACACGTACGTATATGTGTGGAGATAAATAAGAACTCTTAAATAGCATACAGGGTTGGCCTTGGCAACGTGTAGTCAGTACGATCTTATAGGACATCAAAGTCGAAGGGACATCAAGTTTTTTATTTATTACTAGTGTGAGGTTTAATAATTTGGGAGTTAGACAACTGTGTTTTAACTATAAACAACACACTCAAGTTCTGATAGTGATGGATACTGAACATGCCTAATCTAAATCTTGAGAGAGCCCAATATTCCAACAACTGAAGTCGACTTTTGTTGTTATTCAAAGTTCGACTATTCCAATTTTCAAGGCATGTCGTTTCATTTCCAACCGATTAAATGATCATATGAAGTTGGATTCAAGATATTGAAGATAGAACTTCCGAACGGTCGGATTCCTTGACCTTCCCCACGGATATATAATTAAGGGATTCAGGAAACTCTCAAATCTCAATCTTTCATTGGTTCTCAAACCTTCTCTTAATAAATATTCATTGATTATATTTCGATTGCAATTGTATTTCTTCAAATCTGGAAGTAGAAGATTGGTCCAGGGTTCAATGAGATTCGTCGATTCCTCACTTAAAAATTCCCAATTAAGCCTACTACCAAGTCCCTGTGTATGAAATTGTTTCTAAATTCTAACATTTAGGGGTTTTTTTGGGGCATTATTCGTATGTTTGTCGTTTCATTTGTTTAAAAAATAGGCATGGGGGAATTTTTCAACATTTGTGCACGCATCAAAAATCCCAAAACTAGCCCTGATAACATAAACGATTAAAAAATGGCGTTAGGATATTTAATTTGAAAAAAATAATTTGATAAGTACTCACAAAGGAACCATATATTATAACTATTCAAGTGGGTTTTAATTGGATTGTTTGGATATTGGCCGATGAATAAACAATATGACACTCAAACTGAATAGCAAATCATCCAAATTGAAGTACCCAAATAAATTTTTGGTGGTAGAGTTGATGGGCATAGCACAGTTTAAGATTTATACTGAATGAATGTATTTTTAAGGATGATCAAAAGACTTGTAAAGTTGTTTGATTCCTTTTTAATAGAATTCAACTGTTTCGAGGGATTCTTTAAAAAAAAATTATTGAATTTTTTGGTTTTTTTGGCTAATTTGGAAGGTTTTCTCAAATTTCTGGTTGATCTCTTTATATTTTATAATATCCCACAACACTATTCAACTTTTAGCATGTACTATAAAAAAAAGTTCCTACTTGCAAAAAGCAATTGAGAAACAAGACCATGTTGGGGCCTTTATACGTCCGCCCCTGGACGAGCTGTTGGTGATACAGGGCCGTGACGAGTTGGAGTAATTGAGTATCGACAATAAAAAGATTAAACTAATTGTCCAACTCCAAGGTCTTAATTGTATTACATAGTTATTAGAAGGGCTCTAAGTGGATATTTTCAAACTTGAAGGGTTGAAACACTATAGTTTCAAATGTTATGGGCTAAATTAAACAACATTATTGGATTTTTGTCATTGGAATTCGGATTATTTGGCGCCTATGCTGCACGGAGCGCTGATTATCCGCGGTCGGTGGTCGGCCCGTTCTACCGGCGACGGCCATAATTACCGGCGAACACATAAGGTTCTATATGTGACTATGTCTCTACCTTGTCTTTTCATTTCTAGTTATCAATCCAGTCTTCTATCATATCGACGAAAAAAGTGAAATTACATCTGGTTTGAACATCACCATTGTAACTTATGTTTCAATTAGGTTTAGACAAGAAGAAATCAATAAATGATGTAAATATGTAATAGGAATTTTTCAGGAGGGATTACTTATAGCTGTTAAAGAAGCATCGTTCAAAACGGTTTATGAATATTGAGTTTCTTTTGAGACTCTTTTATTCGTTCACTTACAGTACTTAGTCTGAGGCCTGTATAGCAAACGTCGCCAGAGAAACAAAAAAGAGGCTCACGATTCCTACCTCAGTTTACCAAGATAATAAGTCAAGTGTACAGTCTATGAAACCAGAATGGGGAGCAAGCTGGGGAGAATAGTATTGCATGTTGTTCAAGAGATGGATTAAAGAAAGGCAACATGATTATTCAGCTGGTTGAGAATAACACAATTTAGTGCAACTTCATTCATTTTGGGACTTCTTTGGTGGCAATTAGATTTCATAGCCCCAAAGACTTGCAAGATCAGGTATGAAATGTTTCCATCTTAAAACTGAAATGACAAGAAGAACAAATACAATTCAAATTTGATACCAAATGATAAGTGCATAAAAGTACAAGAGGGCTTGAAAATTTCATGTCAATTTAGGTATATAAGGTTCCATTCTAGAAGAAATTGATGAATATAAGTTTTTTATATGTTCAATTTCTTATGATCATCATTATTGTTTCATGAAGAATGTAGTTTTCTACTTGTACCTAATCCTAAATGCTCCTTTACAGACAGGGATGTTGTTCTTCATTGCTGTGTTGTGGGCATTTTCCCCAGTTTTCACAAGAAAGAAGCAAAGCTGAAAAATATGAGAGGAGCAGATATGTACAAGCTTAGTGCATATTTCATGGCAAGGACAACAAGTGACCTTCCACTTGATCTTCTTCTTCCATTACTCTTCCTTTTAATTGGTTACTTCATGGTGGGGCTGATACCAGCCACTGAGTCACTTTTCCAAACTATGCTTATAGTCTTCTTGTTCTTGTGCATTGTTGCAGCTCATGTATGGCCACTTTCAACATATCAATCAATGTCAATACTGAATATTTTTCTGAAGTATATCACATAATATGTATACATATAATTACAATGGCAGGGACTTGGACTGGCTATTGGTGCTGCACTGATGGACTTGAACAAGGCAACAACCTTGGCTGCTGTAACTATAATGGCTTTCATAATGGTTGGTGGCTATTTCATGAAGGTAAAACACTAATATGCTCAAATCTTTAGAACTTCATCTAGTTGATACTCGATTATCTTCCTGAAATGCTATAAGAACAGGAAATGATGCCAAAGGTAACAATCCATCACTTCTCGTTATTGGGGATTAAACCCGAGACCAACAGCTTTTTGAGCAAACATCTCGTTATCCCTTAGCCAACCGGGCTACACGCCAGAGGCTATTTCTCTCTTTTTATTTAAAAACCTTACTTTTCAATCCACCACTTCCCATTATTGGGAATTAAATTTATTTACATACTCATACCATGAAATCTTCTCCTACCATAATTCAAAATGTATATGAATTTTGAAATTAAAAGATTATATAATAAAATCTCTTAACTTATTTCTCCCATATTCCATCCGTTCACTACTTAAACCTTTACCAGAATCATTTCAAATCTTTTGGCATATCTAGTCCTTCATATTACAATCATTACGAACTGCCCCTAATTTTGTGTGTTACAATACTCACAAAGGAGTCATATAATAAAGGTATTTTATTCAGACAGGTTTTAATTGGTTTGTTTGGATATTGGCTGAAGACCAAACAGCCCGAGACTCGAACCAAATATAACAAATCATATGAACCGAATTCCCTGAATAATTTAAAGGTGGCAGAGTCCATTGAAGGGGTAGCCAAGCATTAACAATAACAAGATTAACCAACTATCCAACTCCAAGGCACTAGTTGTATTACATATATACATAGTTATTAGAAGGGCTTGAAGTGGAGATTTTTACAAACTTGAAGGGTTGACATCACAGTTCATTATCTGTAGTTTTATAAGTAACTTCTGGTAATGTCAGATATCAAGATCAATCCACATATTAGTTACAACTCTCACGGCATAGAATAGCAAGTAAATCGTGATTTCACAGCTTCGTAGATGAGGATGAATACTTGTGTTCTTTCCTATTCCCCATGCTTACCTCTTGCATCAGTATGATGCAAAAAAAGAAAAAAAACTCTCTGAAGTAATTGTTGATTGTGAAAACATTCATCTACGCCACATGTCGCAAGGACAGGTATGCCAAGATACGGTAGCCGAGTGCCATGGCTGCCAGGGCACTAACTTCCTTCAATCCACTGTCTAGTTCTATCCCATCAATTATGGAGCTTATGCTTTCATACTGCACCTTTAAAAGAAGTCTGTATGTGTGATAGTTGAAAGACAAGTACCTTAACCATGATATGAATATTGGAACATTCTGCAAAAGTAATGCATCAAGAATTGTTACTGTTGGCATCATTTCCTCTTCTTTTAGCATTTGAGGAATATGATTGAGTATCAACCAGATGAAGTTCTAAAGATTTGAGTATATTAGTGTTTTACCTTCACGAAATACCCACCAGCCAACATGAAAGCCATTACAGTTACAGAAGCCAAAGTTGTTGCCTTGTTCAGGTCCATTAGTGCAGCACCAATAGCCAGTCCAAGTCCCTGCCATTGTAATTATATGTATGCTTATTATGTGATATGCTTCAGAAAAATATTTTTAATATCAACATTGATTGGTATGTGGAAAAAGGCCATACCTGAGCTGCAACAATGCACAAGAAGACTATAAGCATAGTTAGGAAAAATGACTCAGCAGTTGGTCTCAGCCCCACCATGAAATAAACAATTAGGAGGAAGAGTAATGGAAGAAGAAGATCTAGTGGAAGGTCACTTGTTGTCCTTGCCATGAAATATGCACTCAGCTTGTACATGTCTGCTGCTCTCTCCTTTTTCAGCATTGCTCTTTCTTGGGGAAATGTGAAAATTGCCGTGAAAACCGGAAAAAATGCCCAAAATACAGCAATGAAAAACAACAGCCCTGCCTGTAAACGAACATTTAGGATTAGGTACAAGTAGAAAACAACACTCTTCATGAAAAAGTAATGGTAATCATAAGAAACTGAACATGTATACAACTTGATTCATCAATTTGTTTGAAAATGGGACCTTATAAACCTAAATTGACATGAAATTTTCAAGCCCTCTTGTACTTTTATGCACTTATTCTTTGATATCAAATTTGAATTGTATTTGTTGTTCTTGTCATTTCAGTTTTGAGATGGAAACTTTTCATACCTGATCTTGCAAGTCTTTGGGGCTATGAACATCTGATTGCCACCAAAGAAGTCCCAAAATGACTGCGGTTGCAATAACTTGTGTTATTCTCAACCAGCTGAAATAATCATGTTGCCTTTCTTTAATCCCTCTCCTGAACAGTATGGAATATTGTTCTCCCCAGCTTGTTCCCCATTCTCGTTTCATAGACTGTAAGCTTGACTTATCATCTTGATCAACTGAGTTAGGAATCGTAAGCCTCTTTTTAGTTTCTTTGGCGACATTTGCTATGCAGGCCTCGACTAAATACTGTAAGTGAAAGATAAAAAGAGTCTTAAAATAAACTCAATATTCGGAAACCGTTTTGAATTATGTTTTCTTAATTACCTCATGCACAATCATGGGAGAAGGTTTCGCATTCCTTGTTTCTCTTCCTGAATTTCCTAGGTGTACTTTGTCCTCTAATTCAAATGGAACAGAAATATCATTCATGTTTCCATTTGCAAGATCTAGCAAAAATTCCGCTGGGTTCATGGAAATCATGGGAGAACATCCTATCGATGAAAAATACGCCATAGCTTCTGAGGCTTTCCCGAAGTACAACAAGCTCCCTTTCCCAAGGAGGATTAATTTGTCAAACTTGTGGAAAAGTCTGCTAGATGGTTGGTGAATCGTGGTAATTATTGTCTTCTCGGTCTGTTATAAATATATAAACAAAGTAGGAACTGAAATAATCAATAGCTTCTTCACATTATATTTTACTTGGTTAGTTTTTTGAGTAATCATACCTCTGCTATGTCCTGTAATAGTTCGATGATTCTCAAAGCAGTTGTAGAATCCAAGCCAGAGGTGGGTTCATCAAGGAATAGGAGGGAAGGATTGATTATGATTTCGTTTCCGATGGAAACACGTTTTCTTTCTCCACCTGAAACTCCCCGAACAAAGGAGTTGCCAATCATACTATCTTGGCACCTGTTTTAAGCATCAATTTCATTTTAGATTTTCTGTGGTTTTAACTTTCAAGAATTGATAGTATCTAGAAAATAAAACTTAATTACCTCTCCAACCCAAGTTCACCGATAACGTCTGCTGCCCGTTTTTCTTTCTCTTGTTTCATCAATGTCTTAGGTAGTCGTAAAAGAGCCGCATACGTTATAGTTTCTTTCACCGTTAGATGTGGAAAAAGAACATCATCTTGTGTCACAAACCCAATCCTGCCCAGATCATATAATCGTACCACCAGTTTAGTATAAATCCATCAGAATCTTTCTATCTAGATTCTAGTAAACTTCACATGTGAAGACACATACCTGCTCTTTAGCAACTTCGAATACGGCTGATCATTATAAGTGATTGATCCTCCCGTGTTAGGATCTGTCAGTCTGCCTCCAAGCAAACTTAGGAGCGTAGTTTTTCCACTTCCCGATGGGCCCATGAGCGCCAAAACTTCTCCTGGATTAACTGTACCAGTTATTCCATTTAAAATATCCTTTTCTTCGGTGGACGTCACTCCTTTGGTTATTATCTTGTATGTCACTTCTGTGAACTGCACATTTTTAAGAAAAATCAACAATTCTACCTTCTTCAGATAGTAGTTTTAGCTATGTATGAGTAAAAAGACAAACATACCCATATGTTGATTGATAGCATGAGACCCTTGGATTACAATTTACATGTTATTTAGACTTATCTATTACCATATTAGTTCATGATAATTGGCTTGTTTTTGGTTTATGGTTAAAAGCAAATTAGTCTTGTACATAAATACCATAGAACATGAGATTCTGTACAAGACTAAACCTGACATCTTGCATGGTTCTCTTAGAAAAACCTCCATCCTTGCCTGTCCAAATAGACATAGGGGAAATTAATCTATTTGCATTTTTGGATAAACAATTGCCACTGCCAACTCATTTCTATAAAACCCGAAAACAACAAAACTAATAAGAGTGGAAAACAATGATGAAAAGGCGAAAAAAGTTTGAAACTTGCAGTGTGAATACTTGTCTATACCTTTAGATGGATTTTCAATGTAGGCTCTGTCTGGAACTTTTTACGGGTGCCTGCTTCAATGTCTTCCGCTGTTACAGACATGTTTAGTATGTCAAAAAGAAAGTTCAAATAGTAGATATGTTGATTTTGTTACATAATCTTGACTTGGAGCAAACCATGTTTGGACTTAAAATTCTAGCTCAAATGGGAATCAGACATATGAACAATGGGTCTTGCTGTGTCACATCAAGTTCTTATGATTATTTGTCATCTATATGCAGTGGATGATTATTTATGGGTCCTACTGTTTGACTTTTGGATCAAATCATAGCAATGGAATTGTAAGAAAGAACAGTTTTATCGTTGATGTATATGAAGGTGAAATTATCGTTCTTGAACCCTGTAAAATCTTGTTTTATTTGTAGTGTTATCTAATGAACAAGATCCAGCCATCCAGGTACTCAATTCTTTCTTTCTCCCATTTAATATCCTGAGTAGAAAGATCATTTGTTTTTCAAGTTCATTCACCATGTTTAGTTCTTCAAAATGTAAGCTTCATTCACTTACTCATCGTCACCGATATCATCAAGCCTGTTACTTTATTTCATTTCCATTTTCATGATACGGTAACACGAAGAACACTAGGCTATGATTGTGAGGTGGGTATGAGAACTCCTAATCCAAAGACTTTTTAGCAGGAACAATGGCACATCAGAAAATTGTGTATTTGTGCCTAAAATTCATGGGATGGGACCAGGAAGAAGAAAATGCAGTGATAAGAGGAAGACCCCTTGGACTTTGAGTTTTAGAGGATTTGACTTGATAGGCAGTATTGGGACCAGGATGTGTGCCTGTGTAGTCCTTTTCCTGACCCATCTTGTATACATTCCAGTCGACATCTCTTAGGGGCTATTTGTTAGCAACTTAACGAGAATCACAACTTATTCGATCAACTATACATGACTGTTTGTTAGTGGTTTATTTAGTAAGCTTTTAAGGGGGCTTTATACAGAAAACCAAGTTTTTTTCTAACATGTCCCTCTCAATTAAAAAACACGTTCCTTTCATCCATGTAAAAACCTCTTCCAAACAAAAAAAATCCCAATTTACACAGACAGATTTATACATACAGGACTTGATAGAAAACAAACCAACAGCCCGTTATTGTCACTAATCAAGATAGACCATAACTTAAACCCTTCCAGTAAACCGGGTTATCATATAGACAAAAGGGTTCAAATTAGGTTCCATTGAATCTTTCATGTCGTATTAAAAAGTTTTATCTGATTCAATTATATTTGATGATAAGTTCATCCCTTAACAGGTCAAAGATCGAAATCATGGTATACACCCAAACCGAGAGGATTATGAACCACACCATTTAGTACAAGGTTATGTCAATTCCATCGTTTTTATCCAATTTTTGTTAACCGGTATTTTTTTCTTCGTAGTTGTTCTAAGACCTGCAAATTCTTCGTATCATTGTAAAAAATATAACATATTTAAGACAAAAGGTTATATGCAATGATATAAAACGCCAAGCAGTCAAAAAACGTATTCCATCTAGTTTGGAAAATAATGAAATTATAGTTTGTCTTTTCTAGAGGTCTGTTCAAATAAGAATGTTAAATATCGTGAGAAGGTAGGAAGATTCATATGTGAATCCATTGAAAAATCCGAAAAATCTATTTGAAGATGCATATGTGAACCGACATTACAAATTATTTATTTAGGTTTACATAAGCATCTTCAAATGAATTTTTTCAATGATTCACGTATGAATCTTCCTCTCATATATTTTCACGATATTTAGCTTTTTATTTGAAGTCTTGAACTTTCGACTCGACGGTTGATAAGTGAAATGGCAGCTTTGAAATACGTGAGAGAAAGTAGAGACAATTATCTGGAAATTGACCAAAATAGCAAATTTTTCCCCCACTTTCACTTTTTAGTCACTTTCAGAACTGAATTCCCATTTTAGCCATAGTTTACGTAAATGTCTTGCGCATAGCCTATTTTCAAAATGCAAATTATGCAAAAGGAAATTTAATTTGAAAATTGAGTTTACGTAACTGTAATTCATTTACGTGAACTTTGGCTAAAATAAGAATTCTATTAATAGAAATGACAAAAAAGTGAATTTAGTTGATATATTTCCACAATTGTCATTTGATTCTTTAGGAGAGAAAGGCCTACTTTTCAGCTGCTTCCCGTTATCCACCTTTTGAGGTGTCATTTGCCTTTTGTTACTTAAAAAGTTTCATCACGTCACTTTGTGAGATCACTTTACATTCAATTACATGGCTTTATTTGAAATGACCTTACCACCCCCCATAACTTTTGTTTACTAATGTGTGTTTCTTAGAAATATGAAACAGGTTATTTTAAGCTTGAAAAACTTACGAATATCATCGTCGCTGAAAGCTCTTGAATCCGCTATTTCATCAGGGGGTATTGTGAATCCAGCAAGTGAGAACGAGATCCCTAAGCTAGCGCTCGAGGCTCGGCTCAAGACGGCCCCGCTACCAACGTCATCGAAATCAAACTTCATCTGAACACTCTTCCCTTTCTTAATGTGTGTGCTTCTTCCGGGAGATGCAAGCACTTGATTTCTGCTCGACTTTCTTGAAAGCGTGTAGCTCTCTGGCTCTTTGGTAGCCTCGTTTGACACCGGGGATTTCATTGTCTCTACCCATTTCTTTAGCTGGTCAGACTGTGTTCTCCATAACCCTGAACTCGGACTCGCCTTCTCCATGTTTGTTTGCTATATACACCCACAATCAATACAATTTCTTGGTAATATGACATATAAGAAGCATGAAAACATAAAGCATAAATGACTGATTAGATGAGTGGAAAGAAATGTCTGAACCGACCCTTTTTAAACCGATCAGAAAGAAATGTTGTTTTTTAAGGAAAAAAAAGCTCCATACCCTTTTACTGATCAGATAAAAAGACTCGAATTCAATCATAAAAAACAATCGGGTTTCGCTAATTTTGCGAATTTGGTGATGAGAAAGAGAGAGAGTTGTATGTAGTTCAAGAAATTGAACATTCTTTTAACAAACACAAGATATTGTATTGTAAGTCTCTTCTCACCTTTTCAAAAGAGAGAAGTGAAGAACTACTTATGCTAAGAAGCTCCTTGCATCTCTTTTTATATAAACTTTAGGATGAAAAGACAAAAATGCCCTTAATCTTTACGAGTTATTATATGATGGTGAAAATCACCAAACAAGAGAACATACATATATATTCTCGTTATTTAACATTTATTATAAAACCTAACCCGTCGAACTCAATGCCTTCTTATCATAATTGCCGTATACGTGTAAGGGTACGAAATATATTTAACCTTCTTAACGTTTTTCAATACATTTCTGTGACCCCTGTCGAGCGACGAGTCGTTTTTCTTGAACTTTTAACATTAATGGAGAGTTTTGTTGTGAAGCTTAGTTAACCACAAATGTGGATGACTTCAACATTGTGAGGTCTTGCTTCCTTCTCATGTTTCCCTTTTCTTAGGGCATCCACTCTTTTGGAATTTTTCTCATATTATTGGCCATATTTCTATGTAACTTAGGGTATGAATTATGGAACAACTGGATTCTAGTCATCATTTATACTGTCTCAAAATAAATGTTTACAATATGAATGACATACAGTTTTAGACATGAACAGTTATTACAAATTTTATTTATCAAATAATAACTTTACCTGTAATTAATTTATCTGTCTTATCAGTTCTTAAATATTTATGCATTAATTAATTGTAGATTTAGAAATTTAGTTTATTTATTTTTTGAGAGAAACATAAATAGTAATGTAGACACTTATTTTGGATGGAAGGAGTATATGTTTACTGTAATATGGTAATAGAAGTGAACCCATTTTTTATTAGTTTTGATATTTAAAATTTTACAGCTCGTGGATACTGGTTAAACGTCTTACTTCAATTACTAGTTCAAGTAAGTCGAAGAATGAGAGCTCTGAATTGAAGCCTGGTACGCCATGGACGTCGAATGATATCATCTCCACGTCGGCATGACGTCTCTGAAAGAAACAAAATAACGTTCATAAATGTTAAAAGTTGCACTTAATGTCGATTTATCAATAAATGTAATAGAACAACAAGTATTGAATGGAGGGCTTTGTCTTGATATAGTGTATGACGATAAACTCGAACTCTGTGGACCTGGTCAGTCAAGTGCTGCATGTAAAAGATAATGGAAGGCACTGGAGACTAGAATGTGCTATTTGATTGACAGAGAAGAATTAACTCACTTGGTCGACTCATACATGAAATAATGGGAATGTAAGAAAGTCGGTTAACTTCAAACGAACATAGCTTATGATCCGTGTGAAGTTACAAACCTTCAAATAGCCCATGGAAAGCTCGTGATGAGCCTGACACGGAAGCAAATTATCTTCAGGGTTGATCCAACAGTCGGGTCGAGAATCCTTCATTCTAGGCTCCAAGAATTCAAGATTTTCGATTTGATTTTGTTTTGTTTTGATGTAAGTCGTATAATATTTATGAATTTCCATTAATCATGAGCCACCTTAGGCAAATATGCAAAAACAACCCAAGCTGAAAGAATCTTCATCCTCATATGCACATTAGGATGCGATGCACTGAGATGAGTTCAGACCCATGTATCAAGTGTAATTCAGTAGGGGATTTGAGATTAAAGGTGATCAAGAGTCCAGATCATTTCTTACATGTTTTTTATCTTAACTCTATTCTTCACACGATCTTTCGCCCTATATGAAATTAGATGTAATTATTTTTAGGATAAACATAACATAGTTTAAATAGAAAAATCATTTTTGTACATAACTATTACTACAAAGATGAAGGATCATGTGCGAAGAAGAGTTAATGTGAGAAGCGTAAGAAGGGATCTGGATCATTGATCATCTTTAATCTCAAACTCACTCATGAATCACGTTTGATAATTTAATTGACGTGTACCCGTACACGACATGCATGTGCTTTTGAATTATTAAAAGCCTTTTTTTGTCTAACTTTTTTAAGATTGATTTATTATATTACAAAATAATAAATTAATAGTTATATATAGTTGTAAATTGTAATGTTGACATGGACGGGGGACGAAACCTTTGTAGTAAAAGGTCACGTGAAATTCACGTGGTTTTCAACTTTTTATACCTACCAATTTCATAAATAAATAAACGAGTTAAAATGTTTTCTTTTTACGTTTCTATTTGTTTGATAACCGAATTTAGAGATACCCAATACTTTGATTTATGTATTATATTATAAATCATTTGATAAAAAAATTTAATAACTATTTTTTATGCATGAAGTCTGTGATGGATGCAGAAAAAATTATTATAAGGGGCATGATATTAGATAAAATAATAATTAACTTCAATTTTCATACAAAAGTGATAGAAAGTTACCTCTTACAACTGTGTTCTACGACTCTTCATCTTTTGGAATTGACTAATTACATCATCGTTTGAAAACTGTGAGAAGTGTTTCTTTTTCTATAGTACGTACCATTGCAGCATTCAAAAAATCATCATTGATTTTGTTGCGCAAATCTGACTTTACAATCTTTATAACAGAAAAATATTTTTCAACTGTTACGGTAGCAACTGGCAAAACCAAAGCTAACTTCAATAACCGGTATACTAGAGGATAAATTGGATGTTTTTTTTGTTTCCACTAGCAAGATAGTGAGCTTGGCAATACCACTCATATAGGCAAATCTTTCGTCTTGACGCACAATCAAATAGTACATGTTAAGGTGTTTCTCAAGAGCGATCATTTCCATACGACTATAATCATGAGGATACAACTCATCAACTTCAATAAATCTGATACATTGAACTGCGAAAATGAATCACATGGACTCGAAACTGCTATATTTTTAAGCAATTCAGTACTTACCTCACTAAATCGATCCCCAAACTCTTGAATTTGCATGTTCACAACAATGTTGAAAATATCAAACTTGTAAAAATGACGATGGTGATGTTGGTCATTTGTCTTCCGTTTTTTGAATAACGATCTTCCATATCCAAAGATTTAATACCATTTGCTTCACAAAAAGAATACATTTTCTTCAAAAGTGGATCAAAACCAATTTCTCTAAATTGTTGCAATAGTTGTTTGGTTCCTCTTATCACTGAAACCGCTTCCAAAATATCTTGATCATTTTTCTGAAGATCCCGTGACAACAAGTTTGTGACCTCTAAAATAAGAAACATCAAATGCAAATAAATCACGAAATCAAATGTCTTCAAATATGCTAAAATACCAGTTGCTTGAGTGCGACTAAAACCATTATCCCCATCCTCTTCAACATATTGGAGCACTTCAACAACATTCGGAAACAAAGCAATCAAGCTCAAAATGGTTTTGTAATGAGAACCCCACCGTATATCTTTGGCTCGTGTAAGAGAAAGCTCTTGGTACTTCCATGTTCCAGTTTCAATTTCACGCTTATAAATTGCTTCTTGTACTCTATCTTTGTAACTTTTGTCGAAGCATGTCTTTACGGTTGCAAGAAGCATTCACCACATTAATCACTATTCCTAACATATTAAAAAAGTTATCAACTCCGTCATGTTTATTTGCAACCGCCACAACAACTAATTGAAGTTGGTGAGCAAAACAATGGATATAATATGCCGAGCTATTTTCATTCAAGATCAAGGCCTTTAATCCATTGAACTCGTCGCGCATATTGCTTGCTCCGTCATAACCTTGCCCTCTTACCTGTTTCAAACTCAATCCATGTTTAGCAAATAGAGTATCAATGACAGATTTAAGAATTAAAGAAGATGTCCCCGTAACATGAACAATACCAAAAAAATCTCTCCATAACAATATCCTGTGCATCAACATATCGTAAAACCATCGCCATTTGTTCCTTCTTAGAAACGTCACTAGACTCGTCAACTAGCAATGAGAAACACATCATCACCAACTTATTTACGAATGGATTTGAGTATTTGATTTGTAAAACAAGCAGAAATATCTTTTTGAATACTTGGAGACACCATTTGATAATTCTTTGGAGCATTTTGTAATATAACTTTACTTACATGTTCATTGCAATCACCAATTAAGGCTAATGTTTCTAAGAACATGCCTTTAGATATAGACATTCCGGATTCATCGTGATCACAAGAGGGCAATGCATTCTTCAACAATAATCTACAAGCCTTAATTGAAGCATTTAATCGTATTTGATGCTCATTCTTCTCCTTCTCAGTTTGCTTGTGAAAGGCAACGGCAATAGATCGATCTTGGCTCATTAGATCCTCACTTTTCTTAAGTGCTCTATTATGAAAACTATTAATGTCGCCGACATAAAAACCAAGTCTTTCCGTTCTATTCCAACTATTAAAGTCATTTGTTACAAAAGCATCACTCCCACATTGTCCTATGTAATGATCTCTAAACAAATAACAACTCAAACAAAAAGCTCTATCCGTTTTTACACTATACTCCAACCCAAACCAAGACGGAAAAAAATGTCTTCCTTTACTCCGGACATTTTTTTTTTTGGAAATGCATGACCCCGTGGTTGACAAGGTTCCCTAATCAAGTATTTTCTTCTTATTTCATCCATTTGATTAGAATGATATTTTGAAATCTTTTTCTTATCGGTTGGATCCTAAAGAAGATCATTCAAATCAATTTCGTAAGACATTGAAGGAGCAAAGCTCGATTCAGATGTTGATGCTTTCCTTTTAAAAAAAACTTTCCATTTTTTT